ATTTGTCAACAGAGTTGTTGCGTTTTTTCTTTCTGTGTGCTAACAATTTTGGCGGTGTTTCCGTATTGTAGCATTTCTGCAAACAATTTCTGTTACCAAGGTCTGCGCCGAAATTGTCAAAAACAGAAATTGTTTGCTGGGTATATATATATCAATATATAAATATTGGTCGGGACCTGAATATCTCAGAAAATATACGTTTTACAGAAAAGTGTTTCAGACCAAAGTTGTAAAGGTTAAAAGGATTAATGGTAATTATTTACAATAAGGACGATCTCACCGATTATGATGACCTTGAAATATGTTGTCAAATATAACATTCTGAACAACTTTTCTTTGTACATATGATCAACGCTCGGCTTTAGTTTTCGAGATATTTATAAAAACCTAAGTACATATCTAGGTGTTAAAGCACAGAGACTAAGCCCGTCCTTGTAATATAGTTTTGAACTAATCCAGTGAAAGCAGTAATTATTGTACACTTTTACAGAAAAATATTACCAAAAATTACTAAAAAATGTATTATTAGAGAAGTATTGGAAACTTCTGAGTATTTTTCTAGTGATAAATTCCCATTACTAAAAACTGGATAATATTTAGTAGTAATATTTTTGTATGTTGTAATATTATTACCACCAATGTTCTAGTATTTTATTACTGGTGCTTATTCAATATGAATAATTCTAATATTACTAAATAAAAAAGTTACTCTTTGGAGGACTGATACAGTTTGCCGATCAACTGATTAACTCGATGAAAAGTACCGGAACCTAGAAAAAAATCCTGAAGTGATGGTAGTGTTACGTCCTGGCCCATGGATACGGTCGGGCTATGGTGGTACGCAACAGCTGGACGTTTTATTTCAGATGCTCGCCACAGAAGATGCGGAAATCTATCTGTGTGCAAGCCGAGCGAGTTGTTTATACTCACGGACGGGTCAACGGCGCGTGCCGATATTACTCCGTCCTTTGTATTCTCGCTCGGTGGTCTCTTTTTAAAGTCAGCGGTCGCTCCAAGGACTAGGGACGAGACCGTGCGATTGGTGGGACGGGAAAATGTGCGAGGTTAAATCTTAATTAGTTATTACACAGTTTATTCTTCCTCTCTTTCTTATTCTAATATATTTATTTCATTTATCATCTATAAGTACAGTAATTGTCGAACTAGTTTTTTTTTACATGAGGTGGTGAGCTGTTGAGTGTAACGCGAGCTTTACAATAGCCGGTAGGTCATCACTCTTAGGCCGGGTGGAACGTGTCGTATGTGCGTATATGTATATGTGTGTGTTTTAAGGCCCCCGGTGGAAGTTACAAGTGTAATGCTGTCATGGTGTGTGTGTGTGTGTGTAGCCGATCCGTGGCTTGAATTTATTTAAGGAAAATTTCTAGATTAACGGGTAAGAGGATAGTATTGGTGGAAGAAGGCTCCGGGAACATGAAGGTGAACATTGCAATATGGGGGGATAACGAAAATTATTTCGGAGAAGGGGAGATTGGGTGTGATTCTATCGAGTTCCGCGGGTGTTACGTGATTGAGGTCTATGGTGAATCGGCCAGGGGGTATTGGTGAGGATAGGGGGGAGTGGTGAGGGGTCGTCTGACCGAGAGGAGGCAGGGAAAGGAGTGAAGCGTTGAAGGATTGTCTCTAGTTCTGAATCGGAATCGGAAAGAGGGGCAGGAGGCGAGTTTCGGAGAGGAGGAGGGTTTTCAGGGGACACGGGGATGTTCTTCTAGGGGTACAGGAGAGTACGAAGGAGGCTCGTACCACGAATCGGCGTCGCTTTCGTAGCCCGAGTTTGTTGGCTGTATATGTATGGTTTGCGTGTGAGTGTGTGTGTGTGTGTCGTAATCTCGGTCTGAGTGGCTGCCTCCCTAACCGTAATGCGGGTTGGAGGGGGGCAGGGTTGTGGAGGCCTGTTCGGCTCCGCTTGAAATAGCGCGAGGGCGGCTCGTCGCAGGGCCCGATTACGTAGAATGCGGCGTGCTCTTACCGCAGCGCGGGAAATTCCGTGGTTGTTCACTTGAATCAATTATAATTTTTTTTTGTTTTATAAGGAAAATGCCTAGTTTTCTAAGAGCAAACCTACAGTCGATCTCTGAATGTAAATTCGACTGTGAGGTTTCTCTCTATTTTGTTATTCCGTTCCTTTTGAGAGGGGGGGGGGTGGTTGTACCGATAACTTAATCCACTTACTATTTGTTGGCGGTTTCATCGGTGTGAAGACCCGTGCCGTTGCTTGAGCTCGATCGCAGTTCTTCAGTCGCAGCAACCGGGCGTCTAGGCTGGAATCGGTGGTTGACTCGCAGTTCGCACTTGTTCCTCGGTTGCAGCGGCGGGGCGTCTAGGCTGGGTGGTCAATTCGCATTTTGCACCGGTTCCTCACTTGTCACAATTTTTTACTTTTTCTTCTGAGCACTCCGGATTCTTTCTGCTTCTGTTCGCGGGAGTGTCGTTTTATATGCGCTTTTTGGTAGCCACGGGGCTTCCAATCAGAGCGCTTGATCGGTTCGCCCGCTTCCACCAAAAACGGTGGTGATTTCTAATTTGTTAAAAGACTATTAAAGTGGACACCATCTGTGCGACAGCGTCTNCTGCTTTTGCAGCTGGTGTTTAAACTAGATAATTTTTGTTCGGCAGAATTGTTTATTAGAGGGTCTCGAGCGGTCCTACCCGTTGAAAACTTCCCTTCCGGAGATAAGGAGATTTATTAATTTTGCTTAGTTGTTCTTGGCACATGTGAATTGTTATTGCATGTGTCCAGCATTTGTTCGGCCGCGGAGCTTGAATTTTCGTTCCCGGATTTATTGTTTTATTTCGTTAGGGAGCGCGGTTTCGTTCTGTATTCACTCAATTTTTACTGTCGCGTGTTTTCTCAGATCGATCTCCTATTCTCTATCCGGGAGTTTCCTGTTTAGTCTCCGTTTTATCTCTGCGCTTTTGTTTAAGATAAAATTCGATTCTACCGAGTGTTCACCATACTGCGTTGCATAAAGAAGGGAACCGTGGAGTCGCAGGACGTAACAGTAGGATTCGAACTAGAGATCTTTACATTCGCAGCCCCTGCACTTACAAGGGGAGTATACACCCTTTGAGTCATCGATTTTGACGAAACTTTGTAGGAATGTAGTATGGATGGAGAAGCAACAAATGCTATTCGGAGATGACGCACCTCTCAAGCGTTTAGGAGAAATTGCGGTTTGAAATTTAGCACGTACCATAAGTAGAGTTCCAAAAAGAAGTTTACCGAAGTGATGGCGTGACGCAGTGGATTTTTCCGGGGAAGATGTGCAGCTCCTCCTGCTTACGCGCTTACAACACAAACAAAAAGAACAACATGAAGAATGATGTGTAATTGTAAGATAAATTTAACTAAAGATTTTTGTAAATATCTCAAAAACTAAAGCTGAGCGGCGGTCATATGTAAGGAAGAGTTGTTCAGAATGTTGACCTTGACAACATATTTCAAAGTCATCAAAATCGGTGAGGTTTCCCTTAATAGAAATAATTACCGGATCTACTTACTGATTGTATCAGTGTGATATTGGGCCAAGGTCAGGTCAAGGTCACATCAATTTTTTTAATGAAATTTTCTATTTTTTATTTTAAATTATTATAGCTTAATTCAAGAGCTTTCCAAAATACTATAATAAAGTTTATTTTTATTAAGCACTTTTTGAGTTATGAAAGTTGAATTTTAGGGTTGGTTTATAATAGTCCTAACCGTAATCCGGTGCCGTAGTCATAATGGCCTGTAAAAAGGCTGTTTATAATAGCCTTCTTACAGATTATGGTACTGGTCGATACGTTACACGTTCGTTAATTCCATCACCACCTAACCTAATTTACACATATATGTGTATTATTCCACATATTTTGCAATTACTTGCATAATTTCTATTTTACAATGTATAAGATTTTTTTTGTTTAAATGTTTCAAGTCAGCATAGATTGAGTTACAAAAATCGTTCAAGGAACTATCTTCCGCGGTCGAAGTATTTTTGTCAGTTACGCATTTTTTAAATATATCAACGGCTTTATTCATTTTGGCAGATACTTTATTTGAGAAGTCTTTTTGAGATATAGAAGTAGTGGATCTGGAGCGCGAGCGTTTTGCTGCTGGTGATTGGGTAGTTTCTCTCGAAGTGCGATCCTCGTTTATTGATACGTCGTCAAAATCCTGTATATCTGAAAATTGAATGAATGTTATTTTTAATGTAGTATTATTATATTTCTACTTGAAACAAATTATTTTAATATTTCAAGAGAGTAAATAATTAAATAATTAATGCATTTTGAAAAATTCATCAGTTATACAAAATCAATCTCTGCGATACTTTATACGTTCAACATAAAACATTTATCATTGCTACAATCGAAAGTGTCTATTAGTATATAGAGATTTGAAGAAAATTACAAAATTTTAGTCACATACCAGTTTGCTTTTCCAGTTTGCTTTCTAAATATTCTTCTGATGTTTCATCAAGATATTGAACATTTCCAAAAGCTAATTCTTCACTATCGTGGCTCTGAATTTCTTGAAAACAATTTTCTTTGTAGGAATCATTTGAGAATGTGGAGCATCTTGAATCTTCTGGTGGCTCGACGTTTCCAAATGTTTTCCGTCGTTTTACACATTCATGTAAAAATGACAAATTTTTCATTAATGGCCATTCTTTATGGTCCGATGCTCCTGATCCCGATCGTATTTGTTTGCATCGTTCTTTTGAAAATCTATTTCGCAAAGCAATCCAGCGATCTCTACATTCGGAACCTAGATAACAATTATAATTATTTAATACTGTTTTTCACTAAGTATTTGTATTTATATAATTTTATATGTGACATATTCAGTATGCATTACATCAACTTATTAAAAACAATATAAATTAATAAAAGTAATTGTTGAAAACCAGTTATTTATCAGAATGGAAACTCTATATCTTTTTCAGTAAAAACAAAATAACCTAACTTTTGTTTGCATATACAAAACAAACAGGAATTTGAGACTTTGATGTTAATATTTTTATGATACCTAATATTTACTAATATATTGTAATATATTGTACTCACTTGATATGTTCAATTTTTTGCTGATAAATTGCCAAGAGTTCTACAACATTTCTGTTCTTATAATCTTTATCTTTTTTATCGTATAAACGCCGAAATTGTTTGACCCAGAAGATCAAATCGAAAGTTGTTTTTCTCTCTTTTCTCGTTTCTTTTTTTTTTGTTTTCCAAAACGATTTTTTGCAATCGTACGGTGTCGTACATATATCAAACTATAGTTTGTATATGTACTAACTATAGCACGTTCCGTTTCATGCCTATGCGCGCATTTTATCTATAGTACACTATAGTATCGTGCTTCGATTGTGCATCATTAAAATTATCGAATTGATGAATATCATCCTGCTTCGTGTAATGGTTCATCTGATTAATGAAACTGTTTATGATTAATAAAATATATTTTTTATTCATTTGTTTTTTATGTTAATTTTCTTTATTCGAATTTGTTAATTTTTTTAAAAAATGTCTGCAATTTAAGTACTTTTTTATAAATAGCAATTCTGCAAACAAATTTTCAAGATAGAGAGAAAAAAAGAAAAATGTTCATTTTTAATCAAAAATAGACAAAATGTCAAAATTTATTATTATTTATATTAATATTTATTAATTTATGTAATTATTGAATGGAAAATTTGTATTCTAAGTAAAAAAAACCTATCTATCGAGACTCGAACCGTCGATCTTAAGAGCATGAGTCGGGCGCGCCACGTTGACTTCCATATAATCCCAGATAGCACATGAATGTCCATAGGATATCTAATGGACGTTCAAATTCAGACATCAGGACGTCCTTGGATGTCCGAATAAACTCCAATGGACGTCCACTGATTGTCTTATGGACATCCATTTTTGACAATTTCGGTTATCCATTTGTTTTCCAAAAATAAACCTAAAAAAGATAATTTTAGCGTAATTTCACAGTAATATTAACATGTCCACCGATATGCATCACGTTACTGTGATATATAAAAAAAAAGAAAAACCAATGGCACATCACCTTGTGGAAAAAGAATTTAAAAAATTAATTCAAAATTTCATTTAACTTAATTTTTAGAAGCCTGATTCAGGTTATTAATCAACTGATTAACTCGATTAAAGATACCAATCCCGGAAAAAATCTTAAGGCAATAGTGAGATTTGAACTCGAGACCTCCATACTCGAGACCTCGCAGCCCTTGCACTCAGTCAGTGAGACCACTTGTTCTTTTCTAAAATGTAATTATTTTTATCTACTTATTCTCAAACTATCCTACGCACTTTATTTATTATTTAAATTATTATTTTATTAAAAATAGTGCAGAGCAATGTACCTGTACCAATAGATAAAAATAGTTTTTTTATTATTATTGAATATAATTTAAAATACCTTTTCACAACGTAAATAAATTTTTTGTTAATACTGATATACTGATTATTATAGTCAATACTTAATATAATATATAGCAAATAAAATATATGACAATATGTATACACATTTATGTGTATCATTATTATATAATAATAATAATTATATAGTAAAAATGTTATACATACATAAAGTGTTTTTTTTTTTTATATAATACATTTTAAAAACAAAGCGTTTATGTTTCAAACAAAAATTGTAGGAATTTTGCAACAATGTAGCAAAAGATATATGTATCATATTATATATAATTAAAATACGATGCGATGTATGCAACTTGCCAAATAGTAAATAACATCTCTAACGTTCATTAGATATAATAAAAACACATTTATATATAATCTTGCTACTTGGGATGCAATACAATATTACCGGTAATATTTCAGTATTATACATAAATGTAGTTTATCGATAATATTATTGTAATATTGTATTATAATATTCAATATTACTAATATATTGCAATATTACTGGGATATTTCCGTAATATTACGTGCTATATAAGTATCTCATCATTTTATCTTTATAGTTCATTGGACAAAAACAAAAGTAGAATGATGCAATAGCGCTGAAAACGCTTTCCGAACTCGCTCATTCTTATTTCAAGATTGTACACATGATAGATACATAAAGAATTTCTTTAATACAATATATCTGTCAGACATAATTAGTTAACATGTATATACGATTACTTTTTTTACTATGTAACACTTTTTATAGATGTGTGAGAGTCACTTCATAATTTGTATAAATTTGTAGATATGAAAATAAGATTACTGCAGATAGGCTGAAGAGCAAATATATCTTATGGACGTCTAAATATTGGTTATTAAAAGACATCCGAAATCGGATATACGATGGACGTCTAATTCATGTCCGCGGACGTGCGACCATAAATTGGACATAGAACGAACGTCCATAAGACATCCTGTGCTATCTGGGATGGTATACAAGTTTTGCTTATAAGGCGCTCAGAAATTTTTGACCTCGATTTTTTCGAAAACGCTTGAGTAGTGCGTCTTATTGCTTTTGCTCAATAACGGTTCATAGTAAGGTCTATCTACAAAAAAAATTTTATTGAAATTGGTGAGGTCATCACCGTAAGGTCCCCTTGTTAGATAATTTACAAAAGATACTACATTTTTATCTGAGATACAGATAAAGATGTCATATATTTTAATTACTTAGATAAAGATAAAATAAAACAATTATCACATCTAGAGATGAACATCTAGATAATTTTATCTAGATAACGGAAAACACTGGTGGTACACTTTGAATAATGCTAATACCGGCGGTATTCTAATATTCATCCTCTATAACTCAAAAAATACTTAATGAAGTTAACCTTACTTTTAATGTTTTGGAAAGCTTTTGAATCAAGCTATAAGAATCTGCAATAAAAAATAGAGAGTTTTATTTAAAAAATCAATGTGACCTTATGTTTAACCTGATGTTGGTGGCGTCATCCAAGGTCACATGATACAATCTCTCAGTAAATAGATCCTTTTAATCACTATAACTTTTGTCTGAAACACATTTCTGTAAAACTTTATATTTTTTTAAATATTTAGGAGTCCCGATCTTTTTGAAACACTTTGTATATGTACATACACATATACACAGTGCCTGATAAATTTTGACACAGTCGAAGTGTGAAGATAGATTGGATTAATCTGAACCAAAAAATCATGTACCATTTTGCAAACTTTGCAATAGTTATTGAGTTTAT